AAATTAGATGGTATTCGACATTCTAACAGCAGCATAGGGAGTACTTATGCAATTGCAGAAACTAAACATGTGTACATTCCTGATCCTCCTGCTAATATGCCAATAAATATTAAATATATTAGATGACAAATCAATGACATGTCAGACTGTAAAATTCTCTGGACCTTATTATCCTTATTCTCCCTATTGGAAGCCATTACTAGCTCCTCTTGATGGAAACGGTCTTTGTTAACTGTACTCATAAATATCCTATTAGTTCTATTATTTGGTCCATGCATAATGAATTGTTTCTTTTCCTTTGTGTCCTCCGGACTTAAAGCTCTACCTACCCAAGATAAAAATACCTGGTGTCTATCGAGAGCCTTTAGATAGACTCTTCAGAGTATCCCTGACTGCTATCAACAAGTATGACCCCCTTCAGCCTGAAGAAGCCAGATTGGTCATCTCCCATTACCCCCTGGCAGTTCAAATTACTTCTTCAGAGGGAGAGTATTACAAGCAACTGAGACAGACAAAAATATTATAGGCAGTCAGACAAGGCTGGGCCCTGGAAGGAGCCAGTGCAGAAGACCAGATACCCTGTAACTGTGGGAGAGATAAGATCCCTCCACTATGGGCCACACCTCAAGACAAAAGATAAATCAAATGTATCCACATACTTCCTAAAGATAAGCATATGGAATTCATATTCTAACTAGGTCTCTATCACCCTGAGGAAACCAGGAGTCACTATCCCAGCCTCCTACAGGAACAGTTACTGTTCTGTATCCATGCCCGCTTGTTACATGACTCCTTTTCCCATTTGTCCCTGGTTTAATCAATTTTACCTGTGTAATTAATCTTATTGGTGGTCCTACATAGTTCTGTTCAACCTCATACTCAGGCTGTGAGTTCCCATGTTTTCCCTACCTTATACCTGCCTCATTTTGTGATTTTACTCTATAAAAGCCCCTAGAAGAGATGGTCTTTGGCAGCCCTCTTGTGACCCTTTCTTGTCTCTCTCTTTCTCTCTCACACAGCTTTCTTTCTCTAAATATATTCTGCTCTTTAAAAAAAAGTCAAAGAAAGAAAGCAAATGAAGGACATTTATACTTTTAGTACTGGTTACGTATTTTTAAAATCTTGAGTTTTTAGACTTTCCTGCAAAAAAAAAAAAAAAAAAAAAAATCCTTCCTAAATACAATCTGTACATTATCAACACTATATTAGACACCAGTGAAAAAAATGAGGAAGATAGCATTTTAAATTCAAATGATGACATATTATGAAATTCTTCAAAAGCAAGTATGAAATAAAAAGGTAAACTACCTTCTGTTGACTTATGGTAACAAGTTAAGGGAATGACCTTTTGAAAAAAGCTGTTTAACAGCAAGTAACCAAACATACAGCACAGTCACTGGCAAAGAATAGGTACTCAAGTATTTTTTGAATTAATGAATACTCAAAATGGAGATTTCCTCTGACAATGTGTCAAAATGTTTATGTTCTAAATACAACATAATCAGTGTTTCCTCTGGATTAAAAAATTAAATGGGTGATTCACTTAAGTCATTTTAGCTATCTTCACAAATAATCAGGAAAATAATATAACCACTACCTTAAATCATAGTCAATTTGTACTCAAAATACTTTCAAAACTTTATTTATGCCAAGCCCATAAGTGAATTATAAAATTTAAGATGTATTTTATTTCTAATACAATGATTAAATAAATTAGAATACATTATATACTCCAAAACAATGCAAAAGAATGAAGTAAAACTTTGATATACTGTAAAATAAATGGTACATTAAGGTCAATTTGAGAACTTTCTTTTGTGATTTTAAATTTCTTTTGTAGATGCTAAAAGATCTGTTAGCATTCAAATGTAAGAAAGTTAAACTTCCAATATGCTCATGTATTGAGTTATACTTTGGTACTGAAGAAATTAACATAAAAACTTAGCAGCTTCAAACAACATTGATTATCTCCATTTCCATGACTTGGAAATTTTGGAGCAACCATGGTAAGTGGTTCTGAGTCAGGATTCCTCATCAAGTTGTGGTCAAGATATAAGTAGGTGGTTCTGGCTCAGATTCCTTGAATAACAACAGAAAACTTGGTAGGTCTCTGGTGAGTCATAAGGGGTGGGGGTTAACTCCACAGATAAAATACAGGTTGATGAATCTCTGAGAAACTGTTCTCTTAAAGTTCTGCTAGTAAGGGACACTTTCTTATGCTTCTCTTAAGCCTTATTACTTTAACTAGAAGGTTCTCTGAGGCAACACCTCACATTTTTCTGAAACCTTAATCAAAAGAACTTTGGATGTTCTAGAAATTCAAAACTATCTTAACTAGATGGATCACACTTAGGATTCCTCATGAGGTTGCAATCAAAGTATCAGCTATGGCTTCAGCTACTAGAAGGTATACCTGGAGCTGAATGACTTATCTGCAAGACTAATATGGGTACAGCTTCTCATTACATGGATGGCTGAAGTGACTTGATGTCCTTGTAATATGGCAATTGGGCATTCCTGCAACTAGTGATCCATGAGACGGTCAGGAGCTGCAATGACTTTTACGATCTATCTTTGGAAGATATCACATTCTCTATTAAGGTAACAACTCATTAAGTATACTACGTAAGGAGATGGGAGGATTATTTTCTACTGAAAGGAAAATTATTAAAACATTTTAGAATCTACCCAAAACATACACACACAGTATTAAAAAATTTAAAAAGACAGAAAAATTGGTTTTACTGAAATTACACTGAAATAAAAGCTTATCATGAGGATTTCTGATATTACACATTTTCTATTTTATTATAAATATTAATCACTAAGCAAGTACTTTAATGTGCAGTGAAGCTGAGATATAACAACTCTTTTAGATCCACATGTCTGTGGATAAATTGTTGAATTGAGTAGAGATGTCTTACTATGAAGCTGGGACAGGAATCCTAAGAAGCTAGAACAGAAAAATTCTTACCTGCTTTCACTAGGCAGCATTTCTCTTTATCTGTGTTTTTCCTGATTGTTACTTTTTACTATTTTGCCTGTCACTAGAATAAATTTTTTTAATTTTTTCACTCTGTACTAAAGACCTAACATATACAGTACTAGTAGCCAACTTGATTATGTAAACAGACAATAATTTTTACAAAACTAACTGACTGCAACATTTAAAACTTCTTTGCCAAGTATGAAGGTCATATAGCAGGTTTTTTCTCCACGCAATGTTACAATATAGTAATTAGGTGAAACTAAATCAGAAGAGTATTAAAACGAATAATCATTAGGTAAGGAGAGCTACTTAAAATGTAGAAACTCTACCTCTCAAGTTGAAATTTTTTACTCCCACTTCTAGTCTCACATTTTTGACTGCTACCAGAACAAAATGGAACATTAGGAAACATTTAACTGAAAACAAAAATCCTTTTTGAATTGCGCTACATATTTTTTATATCTGAGTAACTGCAACTCACTATACTTAAATAATGTGACCTTCAATAAACACATTCATATACAAATACAACAATTCTTCAATATGCAGTGAAGGATAGAAAATTAGGATATACCCACTCAAAATATGTCTAAAATATTAAAAATAACAAACCCAGAAAATGTTTAAGAATGCAGAAAATATTTGTATGGACTTAAGTGAAAAAAAAAATGCAAGCTTTGGTATAACAGGATCACCTCAATGTACAGAAAAAATATTGAAGGCCACAATGTAATATGTGTAGAAGTTGACAGTTAACAGGTTAATGCTTTATTCTCATTTTCTTCTTCTATAAAGGATCTTGCTATGTTACTTAGAATAGCCTCAAATTTGAAATTTACTCCTGTGTCCAGTTTCTGAGTAGCTGGGACTACAAGAGTGAGCCACTATTCCTAAAGGTTATTAGGCTTTTCCTTTAAATGTTGTTATATATCAAGTTTTCTAAAGTAAACATTCTTTTTTTTAATCAGTAATGGGGATCGTACTCATGACCTCATGACCATATGCTTGCAAAGCAGGTGCTTATGCCGCTGAGCTAAATCCCCAGCTCCTAAAGTAAACATTTTTACTTTCTGATTATGAAAGTTTTAAGCAACTGTGTATACAAAATATTTTGCTCTGTTACTGGGTCACAACTATTTTTATACAGATTTAGGTTCTTTTATGGTTATAAAAGTATGAATACTTATTAAAGCAAATGTGAAAAACTATTAAAAAGTTATACAGCACAGAATCTCACAGTCCAAAAATAGTTAACATCTTGGGTAATAAGAATAACAGGCAATTTTTGTTTTTAACTGCTCTATATATTGCAAGCAAACTGACAAACAATAAAATATCAAGAGTTGCATGAGATTCATCAACAGGTTAGTGAGTATCTAGATAGTTCCTCATTTTTTATCAACTAATATTTAAATACATATCCCCACATAAAACTAAGCGCATGCATAAAAACTTTTGTAATATCTCATTTCCTTTATATACATGAGAACGAACTGAATCACTAGATGAACAAATTCGTTTCTATTTATTTTTAAAGTTTCTTAACACTAAAAAAAAAACATACCTTCTAGAAAAAAGAAGCATCAATCTGTACTTTCTCCTCAAAGCATTAATCTGTTCACCTCACAGACATAGATTGCATGGGACAGTACCTTTTTCTTTTTATTACCTGCGGATTAAAATGAACTACAACATAGTGATATTTGCATTTATTTTCTGTGAATTGTTAGTGTAAAACTCTGGCCTGTTTTTGCAGGGGAAATCTGTTGCCCTGAGGATTTCAGACTATTTAACCCCTACAATCTCATGAGTCAATTTCTGAAAAACAAACTACACCAAAATAAAAGGTTTTTTTCTATGTATTGGATCTATCTGTCTCTCTGGAAAACCCAATCAAATACAGTGTTCCTCAAAATTTTGTTAATGACTTACAGGTTATTTATTAAAGCTTACTGATTTCCTCCACACTTTTCTTTATGTTCAGAAATTCTTTGCAAGACAAATTACTTACTTGTAAGTCATCTTCTGTTCCTTCAGCTTCAATTTTTGATGGTGGGCATCCTAAAAAAAACAAGAAAAAGTTAATTAAGCAAAAATTTTTTTCCATACATTTCAGTATTAATGATTAATTGATTATATCATTAAAATATTTTTAAAAACTGAAGAGATCATTCCTGGCTGCCAGGCAACCCTGTCAGATACCGGTCACTTGCATTTGCTCCTTTGTTATAACAACAGAGAATAAAGCAGATAATTGTTTCCCTCTTCTGCAGACAAATTTCTAGTTACTTACTAAAGTAATATTTTCTTTTATAATAAAGACAATAGCTATCATCAAATGATACATTTCATTTTTGGTTTATTTTTATAGGATAATATAACACTAAATATAGACACAATTTATTCGATATAGGAATTAACTGGTTGAAATCAATGCTTGAAATTGTACACAAACAAATGTGCTATCCAAGTGACACCCAGGGTAAACTATAAAGTGGTTAAGGTATTTAACCAGTTTTATATAGAATCAAAACATCTTTGACATGGACCATGATGCCACATACATATAAAACCAACTACTCAGGAGGGTGAAGCAGGACATTTCCAAGTTTGAGGTCAGCTTGGGCAATTTAGTAACATCATGTCTCAAAATAACAAGTGCTGGGAATGTAGCTCATACTAACTTAAAAATCTAGACTACAATGTAGTCTAACACATTTTTATCAGTTACTTTATGCAGAAAATTATTTCTGTGAATAAAGATATTTTCAGCCAGGTCCTGATGATCAAGCCTATAACCCCAGCACTCTGGGGCGCTGAGGCAGGAGCATTCAAACTCAGTCCAGTCTGAGCAACTCTGTGAGACTCATTCCCAAAAGGGAAACAAGGGCTGGGGAACACAGCTCAGTGTGGAGGCTCTGGGTTCAGTCACCAGCACCAGGTGGATAAGGAGTATGGTGATATTTCCCTTCCTGATCAGAACAAACAAAAAAAGCCAATCTTAAGTGATTTTCGCTTTTGGGGGAGAAATAATACTTTAATGTTATTTGTGTTTTGTTAAGCATAGCTGATTCCTCCACAATCTATATGCTTCAGAATTAAATATCTTAATATACTGGCAAGATACACAAAGAATAAAGGAGTTATACAGCCCTAGTCAGTCCTAAGCAATGTAATCCAGAGTTCTGCCATTGGATTAGCTACCTACACATGAAATATTACAGATTCTCTTTTTATCTAATTATCAAGGGTAAGATGTTGCTGATAATAAATATACAAGTAGAATATCAGACACTGCACTTCTCACAGTTCTACTCTACACTATGATTTTTTCTTCAAATTAATTCTTTTATTTTTCTTCTCGAACCCTTCTTTGAAAACATTTGTTTTACCTAAAAGCTGTTTATAGGTTTTTCAATATAACAGATACAAGTGCAAAGCACTGTTACTTAACAAACAAAAACCGGCTAAAAGTCTGTTATTTCATCTTTACCTATTTTGAGTTTTCAAAGTGTGGTCACATAACACAAATGCTGATTGGTTTAAATATGACTTGTATCACCTCTAAAGGAAGGTGACTTCTGGTACACATACTGGATAAAAATAAACAGGAACAGCTACCTTGAGAAATATCCTCTATAGCTCTTCGAATGCCTCTATCGAATGCCCTAGCATCAGCAGGACTTTGAAAGGTGAGGCCAAACTTCTTGTCATCAATCTTCCAATGGTGAAATGTTGGAGTGACCTTATTATAAATGAGGTCTTTTTTAAGCATACACTCCAAAACCACCTGTCAAAAGTCAAATACCAAAGTTAATACACGTATATTTACATATGTTACATATAAACTCAGGTTAGGAAAATTTTACCTTTCAAATAAATATTTTAATAAATTTAAAAATAGAGGCCTTAAGCCTAATCTACTCAGGTAAGATAATAATGAGATTAAGACTGGAATGAAAAGACTATGCATGGCTGGCCATGGTAGCACACACTGTAATCCTAGCACTTGAAAGGGTGAGGCAGGAGAATTACTCCAACTTCAAAGCTAGCGTGGGCTACACAGTGAGATCCTGCCTCCAACACAAACAAACAAAAAAATAAAAACACAGAATGTATGTTATAAACAGTACTATAACAAACAAAAAAACAAGGCACACTCTTGTTCTATCAAAATTTCCAAAGATTATACCAGGAATTACTTCTAGGAAAGAGGCAGAGGGAATGGGGATAAAATGAAATAGGACTTTTAAAAATCACTTTCCTGGGGCTGGGAATTTAGCTCAGCGGCATAAGCGCCTGCCTTGCAAGCAGGCAGTCGTGAGTTTGATTCCTGGTACCGATAAAAAGGAAAAAAAAAAAAAAATCACCTTCCTAAATTTCTTAAAAAGCTCATTTAACATTTTGTTTGAAGATTTAATGGGCCTTGCAGCAGATGAAAATACCTGCCTTGCCACTTTGTTATGCTATACAGTTTACATTTTGAAGCCTTAGTTTCTTCATTTCATAATATGAATAGCAATGAAGTATCAGATCAATATTTATAGTAGTGCAGAACAATATACTTTTGTTTACATTTCCCATAAGGTTTAAAAGAAAAGAAACAAAAATATAAAAACTCTCTTTTATTTGAAATGGCCACATTTACTATTTTCTCTCTCTGTATACATCCATGAATAAACATTTATTTTACTTTAAATTTTTTGAGTAAAATATTTCAAGGTTATCTATATATATCCTATTACTCTTTAAGACTTGAATGTTATTTCCTAAGAGCAATGTCATTCTTTTATGTAATTATAGCATAATTATCAACTCAGAAAATTTAAAACTGAAGTAACAATTTTATCTAATTTGTAGCCTATATTCTACTTTTGTTCACTATGCTAATAAAGACTTTTATATTATAAATCAGTGCTTTTGTCTCAACTTGAAAGATGGTTTTCAACCTATACAGCATAGAACTGACTATAGTAATTCTTGATAACATATTAATTTATGAATAAATAATCAAAAAGGTGACTAAGAACCACTCTTGCCTATTTAGAAGAAACAGAACAAAACTGCCTTAGGAACTTTGCTACTTTCATGATGCTACATATACTGGGAAAAAAAGACTACATATTCAGGGCTTCTATGAATTAGTCACCTCTGGTAGGCATTTTCCACAGATTTGCTATTTTTCACACAGCCATTCTGCAGCAATAACAATAGTAAAATTCATGATGAGTGTGCAGAATTCAGAAGTACAGCACTGGCATTTAGAATTGTTGCAATTTATTTTTTAATATTTATTACTACATAAAAAGAAATATTTTTGAAAATAATGTTAAATAATTACAAAAGAAACAAACATAAACTGAGTTTGATCCCATAAGTCTTATTACATATCACTAAGTTGTGAAACTATTATTGAATAAGTACTCTCAAATTTTCTAAAATTAGTTTCATTTTTCTACTGTTTTCTCTCAGATAAAATTCAACACAAAGTACACCGATCTCTACCATTAGTTTTCAGATAGCATCCATTTTTTACAGGCTCCCAAAACCTGCAGAAAACTGAGTTTTCAGGATGAGTTTTAAGATGTGCTGAGGAGGAAATGGAAAGGACGACGACTAGCTGTCATACTCAAACCATTACCTATATGGAAATATGCCCCAGGGAAAAGTCGTGTACAAACTGTTTACACACTACAACTGGTTTAAACGATTAGCTAGTTATGAACTAGACTTCACTTTTGTTGATCACTTTATCTAAAAAATAGTATTAAGAAATAAATCTTTTACTGTACATAGAGTATATTTGCTGACAGAATATATCATATGTAGCACAAAACCAATCACCCTTTAGGAAAAGGTCATAATAACGGTAGTAGATATTATAAATTTAGAAGAAGCAGTGAAATAGAAAAAAAAAAAAAAAAAAGAAAGTGACTTATTTATTGCCACAACTACCCGATGTCTTTTTAGGTGATTTTATAGTGTATTTCCTATAACATCTTCCTCCAACATTTTCACAATTCTATAACCTTCATGTCCAAAGTCTAACAGTCTTACATATCTAAGTCACATAATATAAAATAAAGGTAGTTTGATCACACCAAGGACAATGTAGAGAACACCTTAGTGAAGAAACAGGTGACATCACTGTCTACCTAAAATTAAGAAATAAAAACAAAATGAGACTGAATCTTATACAGCAAGTAGAGAGAGGAACACTTCAAAAAGACTTTTACTTATTATGTGATCAATAGTCTGCATTCACAAAAAGCAAAAAGTTTAAGGGCTGAAACAATTTTATCTGCTGGAGTTTTGGCTGTATTAATTTTTTATTTTGAGATAACATTAATATCACAAGCTCAAGGAAACTGAATTCACTGTTTCCTATATATGTGATGTGATCATTTGCAAACAAACCACAAAAAACACCAATTACTACATGTACATCTTTGTCAAAAAGTTAAAGCAACCAATCCAATATTACCAGGTGAACCTTTTACTATGAAAAGAAATGAGTTAAAGTGGTAAGTTACCTCTTTATTTACCAATGTTGTATAGAAAGAGACCCTATATGTCTGAAGTGGTTATCAAACTTGCCCAGAATTTATGACTCACAAAGAATACATGGACACAGGAAATAAATAAACCTGAGTTCTGTTAAGACTACGATGTAGGCAACTGCTAGAAACCATCAAAACATAAATCATATCCAGGTGTGGTCATGCACTTATGGGAGGCTGAGACAGGAGGATCACAGTTTAAATCCAGCTTGGGTAACTCTGTGACAGCCTATCTCAAAATAAAGGGCTGGAGATAAGACTCAGTGCCACATCTCTAGGTGCAATCTTCAATACCACAAAACAAAAACAAAACAATGACAAAATATCATAAACTTAAAAACTTGCCTGCAGTTATAAAGCTTCAAATATACTTGACTAATTTTAATTAAGAGCTAAATAAACTTCTTTCGGGGATTAAGTAGTGCTGTAAATTTTAATTTCATCAAGTCCCCATGGTAACTCTAAAGGACATTCATAAAATACAAGGTAGAGATAAACACAAAAGTGTTATCAGTGGTCTTATCCATTTCTATATAAAATTTTTATATTAAATAAAAATAGCAAATATTAATGGTAAGCTTAAATCAAAAATAACTACAAAGAGTATATTAAGTATATTAACTGAACTGAGACATAATTAAGTATATGAATTAAGAATATGGCTGGTTAGCAAAGAACAAATTTAAGAGTCAACTTTTAGAATCAGTATTACATTTTACACTTCTCATTATCTGCAAGTGTCTTTGGATTAGAAATGAAGATTATTGACTAAAAAGTATATATAACAAAAAATATAAACTAGAAAAAGCCACCACAAATTCAAGGGTACCTAAATATGCACGATGACTACACTAAAAACCAAAAATCAAACTTTCATATATCAATTGATCTGATCAGTTTGAGAATACAATTGTTACAAACAACTAACTGGAACTACCTTTAGAAAGATGACTATAATAGTGAAAGGAGAAAAAACAGAATGGTGTAGGTGTGTTTGGTAGAACAATTCAGTATTTCAACACAGATCTAAATTGGTTAAGCCACACAAGTTTAAACTATGTTCTATCGAGACACGTAAATTACTTTGGGAACCATAAATGAAAAGAAGATCTCAAAGTCTTTCAATCCAATGGTAACAAAAAGCCCAAATATTTTTTATTTTGCTTTTATTTTTTCTTTTGTTAAAGTCAAATACATGTTAATAAAAAAAGAAGATATTCCTAGAATCTAAGAAAAAATGAAAATTACTATAACATGAATTTATTAAATTTGATACAGTTAAAGGGAGAAAGACAAGTGACCCCTCTATACCAGGCAGAGTTAAGAGAAGGAAGAAGAAAAATGGTTAAACAGAATTGAAACTTGTAAGCATCCAAAATAAAATGATCAAACTATGAATAACAGAAGGGACAGGAACATAGCACAATACCTAATGAAGTTTGGGGGCTTTGCAGTTATGATTTGCAGGGTGCCAGACAGTCTCTGCAACTTACTCTTCAGCTGACTTTTGGGAATTAAATAAAGTACAATTATATTAAGTAGGTGGATGACACAGTAAAGCTTAGGTAAACATCAGGTGCTGCCACTGGTCTACAGAAAGTCAGGGGCTCTGTGAAGATGGGGGACATTATTCATGAGGGGACACCTTTTTAGAGTATAGCATTCAGGACGCTAAATAAATAGAGTTCATGGGAATAGATTCTAAAGGGCTTAACAATAAATGTTTCGATTTCTAACACTTTTCCTTCATTTGAAAAAAATTGTAGGATAAGAATTTATATGGAAAAAAGCAGGGAACTATGCTCACTAAATAACTAATATTTTGAAGATGTGTTCTAACTTATTCCGAGTAACACGGAACAAGTCCCCATCACAAAATCACCATACTGTTTGCCAGAGCATTTAAAATAGACCAACCCAAAAATGGATATAAAAGCATCTTTATTTCACCAATGACAACTAATAATTTAGAAGAGCAAAATTAAATACACAGTTTTAAATTAATATGTACTTTATTAAGGTTGCTACCTTAAAGTAGGCAATTACATACTTAATATCTAAAAGGTAATACAAAAAGTGTACTAGTGACTTTGTGGACTATCTGTGAATCCAATGAAAACTTCATTTTCTGAAATAAAAATTCAAATTATTTGATAACTAAAATTGATAATTTGTATTTCAAAGAGTTGGGTCATTTTACAAACTTTAGTTTTCTGAATGATGAAAACTA